AAAAAAAAAAAAAAATTTTTCTATTTGTGCTAGAGCAAAATAACACCTCTCATTGGTGGTATTCTCTTTAATACTTTCGCCCCTGGTTTGAATTTTGTCAATTCCTAGCCTCTGGGCAGAGCAACCCTGTCTCACTGCTCTCTCTCTCTCTGCTGCAGTTTATTTAAAATTCAACTATCATTAGGATATTTCATTTAGCTTACACGACTGGCACTTTACTTTTAGGACTTCAGGTCAGGAATGGAATGCTTGAATCTTATTATTGGTTGAAATCTACTGTTCATACAGTTTAGCTGTTGTGAAAATAGGTGCATTATCAGTGGTGCTGAAAAGAGATGTTGAAAATCTGGGTTCCAGTCATATCTGTTAAATAGGAAGGGGTGATAGTCTTGCTCAGCTTACTCATAAGATGCTTATGAATTAACCTGCAGTGACGCACGTAACAATATTGTAAACTGTTCCGTTCTGCGCAAACTGACATGTGACTTAAGGGGAACTTGACAGTCAATAACAGATTACACATTTTGGCTGGCAACTGGGCACACCAGGCCCCATACTTTTAGGTAAGCAGAGTTGACGCCAGATGATTTATGATTCAAAAAAAACTACACTGCCTGCCCTCGTGGAGTTTACTAGTGTAAACACATTTGCCCAGATGCAGGAAGTAAAACAGACATGAGACGCAGGCATATTTCATGTAAAAGCAAACGACAGCCTCATATTTACAGGAGGTCGACCTGTGGTTTTTTGGGTTTTTTTTTTTCAAGTTTTTATTTTAATTCCAGTTGGTTTTGACCTTTTCTTCTAATCTTTTCCTCTCAAAACTACCCCCTGAAAGAAAGGATTAAAGATCTGCTCATTTCTAATCTTGATTTGAGGTCCTGCACAACAGGAACCCTGACCTTAAATTCCTCGGGGAGGTCATCTCCACTCCAAGATGTCAAGGTCAAAAACTGACCTTGAAAGAATGAAGGATTTGTCTGGTTTCAAATCACCAACTCTTTAAGTCAGGTGCTGGCGGGTGTTGAGGCCTATGGATACTGTGGCTTATTTTTACCACAAAATTCACTGTCTAGAAAATATTGATCTGTGGCTATTCTGTTTCAGAGATTAAAAAGATTAAATGACACTCACTACTATAGCTGTTGTATTTACCAGTTGGTTAAGGGACTCCGGGCTTTCAAAATACAATTTGTCTATGCAATTATTTTTCTAGTAATATGAATCCTTTTGTTTTTAAGAAGACTTCGTAGGACATACAATTAGACACTATTCCGTGATACGGCTTTAGAGAATGGTAAGTTTTATTGTATATGAATAAGTGATCTTTTTAAAAAAAATTAGGCAATAGAGGAAAGGAAAAAGCAAAAATATCATTCCAAATCTCACATCCCAGAAAATAATTGTCATTAACAAGTGGACATAGTTCCAGATACTTCTCTGAGCCTTTGTACAGATAAAGCAAATTTAGAAAAGTGTATTAATACTATCCATGCTTTTTTCTGATTTCGGTGGGTGTAGGGAAAAGGTCTCCTGCTAAATTAAGGATCAATATAACGTATTTATAAATGTGCTCCTTTTACTAATGATTGACTAGTATTTGGTACAGAGATTTTATCTTTTATATTTTTTGGTTTTCTTAGAAGACCTTGTTTTTCATAACTGATTCTATGAAACACACCATGAAGTTTAATGTACGTCTTTTTCCTCTCTCTTCAAACCTGAAGCTACGACTTTGTGAATGGTATACAGATTTTAAGTTGAATGCTATTTATGGCTTATCACTTTTATAACACTGGGTCAAGAATATTACACTAAAAAGATACCATTTTGCAAGGTGGGTTTGTGTAGATACTTATACATTAAGTGAAGCCTGTAATCTTTGCCACGTATCTAGAACTTGTGGTAATGCACTTCTGCTAAAATTTATACTAAAATACAAAATG